TGGCATTGTTGGGTGCCACAGTACGCCCAGGCGGACAACATTGAAACCCCATTGCTTATAGTAGTTCAGGCGGTGATCCTGACCATCTAGGTCATTGTAAAATGGTGGCTTCTTGTAGACCGAATTGAAACCATGAAAGAGCATGCGATGACCACTGGGGTTAACGAAATCGCCGTTGGCATTTAAACTGATCTTTTCAGTGATCTGGGCAGAGCAGAGGTGGAGACAGAAGAGAAGAGCAGGCACCACAGGAACCATTATCTCGCTGGTTCTTCGGCCGACTAGAAGACTCCGCTCTATCAGTCTATGACCTAGTGCCAATCAAGAGCCCGCTCAAGGCTTTATCTAGAAAGGCCAATAATGATGGCCGAAGCGAAACCACCAATTATGGTTAGCGCGTGTGTGTTTGTGTGATACAGGTCGATGACAGGTTTAAGAGCCAAAAAAACGTATAAACAGATGGCGCCTGGTGCAGGGGCCAGCGGTGTTTGCACGCGCATGTATGTTATCGTCTAAACATGTAGGTGTGAAGGACCTATTTTCCGTGTATCCGTGGTGACCTTCATGCGACCCGGGTTGATTATGCAAAAAAGACATGCTTATTTTCAAAATGTCAGATAATTGAATAAAAAAATCAGCTAAGTGGCCTGGCACGGATGATGACTATCGGGACGAAGGAACATGACTGAACTTGAGGCCATCAGTCGGTTGTTATTCTGGCATTAAATCTATCAGCTGCACCCCCTCCTACAACTGTAAGGCCTTCTAGTTTTTGCAGCTTGATCTTTTTATTGTACTGGAACGCAAAAAGTGAAGAAAAAACGGTAAGGGCTTGTAAGTGTTTTAGTACAGTGTATTGAATCTAGTATCAAGTAATCCTCCGAAAGCGCCTATGGATCCGACGCGACATCGCCGGGGAGATCCGCATGTACCGCGCATCGTGCCAACTTCGTGTCGAGTGAGACAGAATCGCGTGGGTATTTCAGGCCATCGGAGAAAAAGCACTGAGGTAGTTCTGGCACGTTCTCCGTCATTCGCCTCACAAGGTTTGCTACGCTGCCCTCGATCCGGCGCCGCTGCCCATCTGGAAGCGTGAAAGAGGAGGTCTTGGCTCGAACCCATTCGTCAAGACACTGAAGCGGTTCTTTGACTTTTGCTTTTCGGCCTCTGTCACTGGAGATGAGAATGGATGGAGCTTTCCAGATCCGCTGCCGGTAATCGACACGCAAGGAGAGGTACCGTCCATGACATCATTAAGGCCAGCTAGATCTGGCACGATCACAGCCGTATCAAGTAAAAGTATAAGTTGTGAGAATGTTCAAATGCGACTGTTCCACAGTTTTAAGGCCGCATATGATGGCAGCATTATTTCACCTCTTGACAGGGAATGTGACAGAATTTACCCGTTTCGTTGCATTTTGTGAAATGGGGTTGTCCTACCAAAATATTACTTGATGACAATCCGGTAAGCAGCAATCACAAATCACTTTGTTTCTCGAACTTCAGCAATTATCCGCCTTTGCAACTGCATAGAGGAGTATGACCGATGCAATTGAAGTGGCGTCAGATTTTGGCGTTGCATGGTGGAAATCGGTTGACGCCTGAAGTGATGGAAGTCTATTATTAAGAACCGCATTGTAAGGGCTGTTGCGAAATTCATAGTACCCTAATGGCAAACTCACTGATGAGAAAAAATTAATTTGGCCTTTAGGACAGCTTCTACCCTACTTGGCATATAATGAATGAGATTCGGGAGGGTCTATAAGGGGGTTCTTCTTCAAGCGTCCAGCAGGGATCTCTCCAATACAACAAACAGAAGTAGGAGCAGGCAGTGTTTCGTCAACTATATTACCAAGAACTGACTACAGAGTTTAAACTGGATTCAAGTTAGGACTACTTGCTAGCCACATGTCATCTTCTGAGTCTCCAGGGTTGTATGAACTGGGGTTTCATCCTGCATAAAAAGAATTCTTGACGGGTCCGGAACAAGTTTATTTTCAAATTTTGAACTGCTCCAACGATTTTTTTTCAAATATTTTACAGGTTTTACCTTCGGATCTCCTCTTTGTAATATTCACTACTTACTCGTTGACACTGTGGTACAATGTAGAGGTCAGAGAGCCCTCCAAACGACGTTGCACCCCACATCATGAGTGTAGACCTAAACCTTCTTCACCATGTTACAATGTGGAGCCGAAATAGCGTCATTTCTGTGTTTGGCGTATGGAACAGTTCATACGGCGATTCATCGGAGAAGGTGACTTGTTTCCAGTAATCAACAGTCCACCTCCTGACCATCTTACAGAAGGTCATCCTACCTTTGATTTTTTTCTGTTAGTCTACGGATTATCCTTCTGTGATAGGCAGTAATCCCCAAACGTTCAAGCAAATAGCGCTGCACGCTAGACTTAGAACCCCTTAGAATTCAGCCTTCAATTTCTTTGTGCGTTCCCCTGTGCTTCTCCTTAGTTTACCAAAGGATTTTGCAATATCAACCTTTTAAAATCTCCCCAAAATTGTTGGTTATCCAGATATCTTCTGCATTGTGAGGGTACCTGCCCGTCTGTCCTGTGACTCCCAGTACTTGACTGTCCTGAGAGATACACCTACAGCTTTAGCAACCGCCACTCGCTTCATCCCGGCCTCTATAATACCTATAGCCAGACATCTCACCTCTGAGGTTCACGCCATCGGAGGCCAGACACTGCTTTTCACAGGTTTAGAGTATTCTATTATATCAGTACTGCTGAAATGTACAAATTTTGTTTACAAATAAATCACCAACCAATGTGGTCGAAACATACGTACCAAGTTTGGCTAAATATTTGATTTTAAGCCATCATCTAACTTTTAAAAGGTGCAAATAATTTTCGACACCCTATAAATCATAGAATGAATGGATGAAACGAACCGAGGCTAGAAGATCCCAAGTAGTTCATCGTAATTTGCTTACCAGACGCTTAACAAGGTGACACAGATACAGCAGTGGCGTGCGGTAGTCTTCTGCGATTAAAATACATTCAATTTTGATGGTCCAGGCAGCTGGCACTGTAAAGGGCATAATCAACCCCATATCCGCGGTGGATGATCGGGCAGAAGTTGCCGTGTGACAACTTGGGGAGATTTGGAAATTGGTGTATTCAGAAGGAAAAACCGGTTCATACATTCAAATGCTTTCTGATCAACTTCTTCACAGTACAACAATGGACTTCAACAAGTTAGTGACAGTATACGCGAAAGCCAGAGGACAAAATGTGACTAAGAAGCAACTGAGTTATGGCCTTTAACTGGCTACTTGCGCTCATCGATTTTAGCTCATGGGACTGTTATCCAGGGACTGTTATCCAGGTGTGCCTTCCGCGATCATCGAATATCCCGCTCCAAAGACCAGTGAAAAAAACGAAAAACTTTAGCGAAATGGAAGTTAAGACTTGGAGTAGCGGGATGGATGACAGTTGTGGTGAAATATAGATGGCATGTACTCGTTGATGAATATTCACCTAACCGCTAACGGAACTCCTCGGTCCCGCTCTACCTTAAGCCTCGATAGAAGCCCTGACAGTAGCCGTAACAGCTAGTAGTCTTAGGCAGATAATATTACCGGCGAAGGCAAGGGCCTCCATCGAGGCCCAAGGCAGAGTGGGACAGATGAGTTCCGTTAGCGGTTAGGTGAACATTCATCAACGAATGTCAATATCCCCTGACCTAGACCGGCAAGACTACGAGCTCGTGGCTCAATGGTTAGGGCGGTTGACTCGAATCAATAAGGTCGCGAGTTCGAGGTTCGGGTGGTGCACCACTTGGGTCTGGGCATGACTGGTTGACAACGGCTAATAAGCCAGAAATAGCCACTCGAGTCTCCTTTGTCTTCGCCGGCAATGCTACCGCATCCACTCATAGATGAAATCAGTGGCCGTGGGACAGTAAGCATCTTACCATTCTTATTCAACGATATTTTAATAAACCGGAATTGCTTGTGTGCCCTCCGCCTGCCAGGGCGCCGAACTTGGACCATTCCTACGGTGGCCTTGCGTTAAATGTCAGCAAGGGTAAATATCCCGCGCCCTAAACCTAACGCAAACCGTCACCGCAACCCTCATCTTCACCCCAAGCTTAATTTCTCCGGAAGTTACCGTGAAATTCTCTTGTTCCCATGTCCTGCCAAGAGGGTCATTAACCGCCAAACATTTGACGTCGAAATTTACTAGAAGCCAGAGAAGCCTTCCGAGTGATCTACAATGGGCCATCAATCTACTCAAAATTCATTGGACAGCGTCTGTCGGCCACAGCAAGAGCGGCCGCCATCAGGCCACGCCGACCGGTCCTGTGCGCCCAAAACTATTTATTAACGGCGCTGCAGTAACCATGGCCGAAAGTCGTCAATCCAACAGCCTGCAGCTTTCTCGGCTACTAGTCCCTTTAACGCTGATCAGATTTTTTGATCCGGATTTCCACCCCCCCTCCCGCCTTCCCTGAAACTATTTTGTTATGCCAACCCGCATAGTTTAGTTAGTTAATTACGATATAAATGTACAGACATGATGATAATTTATCGAAAAACAGCGTATGTTTGCCAATTTATCTTCTGAAACTTACTAACCATGAAAACTCCGACACCTTTGTGCTCGCAGACGACAAAAACCGAATCGATCTACGCCAAAGTGTCGTTGAACAACTGTTTGTCGGCTAGACGGTTTTTCAATAAACGTTGGGTAAAACAGTGTGATACACTGTGCATGTTAAAGCAACCCGGTCCCGCACGTCGAAGGTAAGGATAGGCTGCCAACTCAGACCACTTCTATATGCATCTACTCATTTACTTGCGGGAGTCCATCGTCACAGATAAAACGTCAACGAAAAGCGAGCAACCAATCA